ACAGGTCTTCAAAGAAGGAGGTACCTTTCTCTGAAGGGAGGAGAGAACTTCCACATTGACTATGACCTTGTCTAAATAAGATAAGAGTCGGAGAACTCAAAAGGCTTCCATAGCCTTGAAAACTCATGACTGGAGCATAGGGAGATTACTGATGCCATAAACAGGAGTGTCAATTTGTAAAGTCAACAACAGGAGTCACTGTGCACTTACTCCTCATGTAGGATCTCTGTCCTTAATGTGCTGTACATTGAGATTTAATGCTATAACGAGTACTCAAACAGTATATTTCACTTTGTGTTTCTATGTGGGGCCACAGCAGAAAGCTGGCCTGGTAGAGGGGCAACTGGGACAGAATCCGGCGCCCTGACTGGGACTAGAACCCGGTGTGCCAGCACCGCAAGGCGGAGGATTAGCCTAGTGGGCCACGGCACCGGCCTATAGCTTTATTCTAATATGTCAGTTTTTTATTTGTGTCATGGCAAACTCATTGCTCTTCATTATACACACATACACCATCCTAATTGAGCCTCATCTGAACAAGCCCATAGATTCAATTTTCATGCACCTGATAGTGGTCAATATGTCAACCATTATCATCCGGTCAATATCAGAACTCATGTCATCATTTGGAATCAAAGCATTCTTTGATGATATTTGTTGTCAAACATTTCTGTATGTAACTAGAGTGATTCAAGGTCTTTCCATAGGTACTACCTTTCTTCTAAGTGTATTTCAGGCCATCACTGTCAGTCCCAGTCATTCTAAGTGGGTGTGGCTGAAATCTAAACTCTCCAAGTGGATTTTCCCCTCTTTACTCTTTTTTTGGGTCATCAACATGCTGATCTACATCCATGTCATTGAAACTGTAAGAGCCAAAGGTAATTTCACTGTGGTTGGTCATGGATATGCTAATGCATATTGTCAAACCTGGAAGCTCGGAGACCATGAATCAAGGGCATTTATAAGTATCATCTTGATTTATGATGTAGTGTTCCTGGAACTGATGATCTGGTCCAGCCTCTACATGGTGTGGATCCTCTACAGACACGCAGGAGGGCCCAGCACATTCACACCTCCAGCTCTCTCAGACGTCCCAGAAACAAGGCCACCCACACAATCCTTTTGATGTATTTTGCTTGTGTCTTTTATTGTCCAAACAACTGTCGATGCTTTATGGATTTTTTGCATCTGAGAAAAACTCAAGATTTGAAGTTATTGGTGGAATTTTACATTCATGCTACCCGACATTTTGCCCCTTTTTTCTGATGAAAAATAACAAAATTATTCTCAAACTGACTTCCTTCCTTTCAAATATGAGAATGACCCATTGTCCACGAGCTTTCAGTGGCTGATTGACATCATCTTCAAAAGAGGACTCTCCATCAAGACTTATGCCAGCACCACGGCTCAATAGGCTAATCCTCCGCCTGTGGTGCCGGGGCGCTGGATTCTGTCCCAGTTGCCCCTCTTCCAGGCCAGCTCTCTGCTGTGGCCAGGGAGTGCAGTGGAGGATGACCCAAGTGCTTGGGCACTGCACCCCATGGGAGACCAGGAGAAGTACCTGGCTCCTGCCATTGGATCAGTGCGGTGTGCTGGCCGCAGTGCGCTGGCCACGGCGGCCATTGGAGGGTGAACCAATGGCAAAAGGAAGACCTTTGTCTCTCTCTCACTGTCCACTCTGCCTGTCAAAAAAAAAAAAGATTTATATGAGGAAAAGAAGCCACAGGGCTACAGGACACTGGAAATCGGCTAGTTTGAGTGGAACTATGCAGTCCATTTAACATCACTCACTTTTTGGAATGTGAATCAAATGTGTTAATCTGCACATAGATTACACAGATTAGTAATCTTTTGGGTTAAATGACTGTGTTGTATATCATTAAGGTAATTTTATCTGCTTGTTTTTTTCCCGTTAAATGGAGGTACTAGAGAATATAAAATTACCCAGCACCGCGGCTCAATAGGCTAATCCTCCATCTTGCGGCACTGGCACACTGGGTTCTAGTCCCGGTCAGGGCTCTGGATTCTGTCCCGGTTGCCCCTCTTCCAGGCCAGCTCTCTGCTATGGCCCGGTGCAGTGGAGGATGGCCCAAGTGCTTGTGCCCTGCACCCGCCTGGGAGACCAGGAGAAGCACCTGGCTCCTGGCTTCAGATCAGTGCGATGGGCTGGCTGCAGCGTGCTGGCCGGCCATGGTGGTCATTGGAGGGTGAACCAATGGCAAAAGGAAGACCTTTACCTCTGTCTCCCTCACTCTGCCTGTCCAAAAAAATAAAGAGAAAATATAAAATTACATTTGGACTTGCCTGATATTTCTGTTAAACTGTCCTGATCATAACGTCTTCCCTTATCCATTCAATAAATAACACCTACCTTGCATATTTCAGGGACTCACTTAGAGGTTGGATGTGCCCCAGTGACCTAAAGATAAAATGAAGTGCAAAAAGCACTCAAGAATGTCTGTGGTGCAGGAAAGATAATTGTGTCTGTGAATATGCTATGAAAATAGAGGTGATTAAGAGGGTGGGAAACTGTGGGAGAGTCAATCCTTAATATATAGTAATATGCAGGGGGACTTTCCAGCATCTGTGTAAATCCATTCATAATGATCCTCTCCCCTCCTTATGCTGATGTATTTATTATTTGGATCCAATCCATTGGGATGTCAGTGAGAAGTGTCTCTTCATTTAAATACTCATCAGCAGGGGCTGATTCTTTACCATTCTGCATGGTGCATTGGCTTACGGTATATTTACTTTGCTAAATCTTCAAGCAACATCATTTTTTCCTGTTTCATCTTCTACTGAAGGACCCCAAAAGCGGTGTCCTTTTGTGATGACCCCAGAAACACAGACTCCAGACCAGACGATGCAAAAAAACAGGAGGCAGTTTTATTTCATTTGCGCAAATGGGCCCTCTGCTGCCGCAAGCAGCGAGAAAGAGAGAGGAGCCCCGAGCAGCTATCTCACACAGCTTTTAAAGGGCAAAACCACAAAATAAACATACCATAGGGTGGCGTAAGTTTATTGGGCAACTACAAGGGGAGGAGGTCGTCGAGGAGGAGGAGAAACAGGGGGGCTACGTGCCCTACGTGTCTAAGCTTGGATAAGGGGAGGGGGTCATTGAAGAGCAGAAAGGGGTAGCTACGTGCCCTACGTGCCTCGCGGTTTTTTTGTTAAGCTTGAGCAAGCACAGGGGAGGGGGCTTATGTGCATACCAGGATGTTCTGTCGCCCTTATCTCTGGGTAGTAGCTATCTGCTTTCTCTGTGAACTTAGTTTACTCCCCATTTTCCCAGGACTGTTTCTGGAATTGCTTGTCTTAATTCCTGTTTTTTATTTTTTTATTTTATTAAGGCCATTTTTATGGCGTTTTTCAGCCGCTCCTTTCACTACATCTTAATTTCTCTGTCTTACCTCATTGTTCAGTTCCAGTCCCCAGGGACAGCACACTAGTGACTGTAGCTTGAACCTTTGTACAGATCTTTGTTCCCAAGGCTAAGGAATTCCACCTCACCTGTCCAAGGTTCTGCAATCCTCAAGAGATCCCATTTCCTATATCAACCTTCTCCAAATGACTTGGGTATGCAGCCAGAAGTGAAAACAACTGCAATAGTGTGGTGTAGCTCATGGGATCTGGAGAATGGATTTAATAAATGCATTTTGGAGGAAATGGAGATCAACTCAACTTCGGACAGGAGTGAAAGAAGAAACGACTGAATGAGCTGATCTTCATGGATCCTACATTGTAGCTCTAACACCTTGGAGGAATGCCTTTCCAGCATTAGCCTTAGTTCCTTCATGTGTAAAGTAAGAGAATGGACAACATGAGCAATGTATTGTCAACTTCTTCCTATAACTAAAGATCACCAGCTTAAAAAAAAAAAAGAGATCCCATTTCCCCTCTCTTTGGCTTTCTGTGGTTCAAATACATTATCTAACACCAGAAGGGGGCTCTTCCCATGCAGAAACTATTTTGTCCATGAGATTTTAAAATTTGCACTTTATCAGGATGACATTTGGAAATACACCTCACTGACCTTCAGCACAGAAAACTATTTCATTACATCTTGGCTGTCTGTCCTCCCCAAGTTCCATTTCCCCTCAGGAAGTGTTGCTCCCACAGAGCAGGCACTGATGCCCTGCGGATAGCTCTCCCCCCCTCCTCTGCCCTCCTGAACATCATGGTTTCATCTTCTTGATCAGTACAGTTTGAAATTTTCTTTTCCTAGAATTTCCAAATTCAATTGAAGTCTTATGATTGGATGTCCTCTCTTTCAAATGCACTTTTTAAGATTTATTTATTTATTTGACAGTTGGTTACAGAGAATGAGAGGCAGAGGCAGAGAGAGAGAATCTTCCATCTGCTGGTTCCCTCCCTAGATGTCTCCAGGTATACCATATGGGTGTGGGGCCCAAGGACCCGGGCCATCTTCTGTTGCTTTTCCAGGTGCATTATTAGCAGGGAGCTGGATCAGAAGTGGAGCAGCTGGGACTTGAGCCAGTGCCCATATGGGATGGCACTGTTGTAGGCAGCAGCCTTACCTGCTCTGCCACAGCACCGGCCCACAACAAAGTTTCTTGACTTTTTTTTAAAGTAGCACAGAACTAGTCAGTTTCTCTTGCTCCATGAATGTTCACTGTGGCCACACCCAGGCTTCAGCACCCAGATCCAGACCAGCACAGCTGCCCTCACCCCTCACCCCTCCCTGGCTGTGCCCCGTGGTGTCTACTCTAGACTAACGACCCCACCACCGTGCCAGGTCACCTGCTCATGCCCATTCGTCCCAGATGTCACTACTGAGTGGCCCCTAATTTCGCAAAGGAAATCATGCAGTTGCTGTGACTGCGTGATCTGTCAACAGTAGCTGCTGAGAGAGTGCTGAGGCCACTGACGGCGCAGGTGAAATCACACTTCCGGGTTGGCTGATGCTCTCGCCACTGAGCCTCTCAAGAGGCTCCGCCCCAGGGACGCAGAGCAGTGACGTCATGATCAGACCCAGCTTTGGCCGCTACTGGCCCCCAGCTGAGGCCTCGAGGAAGGCCTGTTTGTCTCTGGGTTTGCCGAGACCACCTCTGCGCTTGGTAAAAACCATGAACAATCACAGGTATTCCCAACACAGAGCTAATCTTCATAGGAAATCCCTGGTGAGGGTAACCTCACTGAAATTTCCTGCATGCGTGCCCTGCACATCCACGGGGTCTCCCCAGGCTGCCGTTTTGACAGAATCTGGTGGACTTGGAGGCTGAGAGGGCAGACATTGATTTTCTCAGGCTCGTGGGGCTGGCGTCTGGGATGAGGGCGCCAGCGTGGCCGGGCCGTGGGAGCGCTCTCCCCCTGTCTGTGGCGGCCATCTTGTCGCTGTGCCCTCCTGGGGAGAGGGGGAGCTCTGGTCTCCTCCTCGTGAGGAACAGAACTCTGACGGGGCCAGAGCCCCCCTCACGGCGGCCGTCACTTTCCTTCTGTCAAGACCTGATCTCCAAATACAGTCCCACGTGGCCCTGGGCCTTCAGCGTTTGCATTTCAGGGCAGTACTCAGTCTGACACACACACACACAAACACACACACACGTGTTGTATTGACACCTAGAAACCTCCATACCTCTTGAATATATAAAATTTAGATATAACCAATATCATATAATGATACAACCTTCAAAAGAGCTTGAAAACATGACAACCATTTTGGGGGGGTTAAAACATAATTTCATATTACATCAAAATACAGAAAGAATCATATATATACAGATGTGTGTAGGAAAAATGTGCAAAGCATATCTAAAAGTGTATCCTTATTCATTTACTTTTATTTGAGACAAACACACACACACACACACAGAGAGACATAAAAGAGAGAAAGAGAGACAGACAGAGGCACAGAAATCCTATTATCTTCTTTACTCCCTAAATGCCTACAAACAACCAAGTCTGTTCCAGGCTGAGTACCTTAGGTTGATGACAGAGACTCAAGCATTGAGTTATCAGCTGCAGTCTCGTAGCATCTGTATTAGCAGGAAGCTGGAAT